GGACCAATGACATACTTCTGCGACATCCATGTTTATAAAAACCACCAAGCTTATCAGGAAAAGTATCATGACTAGCTTCATATGGCAAATGGTGCCACAAATCCCAAAACCCATTGCCATGGAGTCGATTTTAACTCATAGTGACCCTTTAGGATAGGGTACCCATACCCACTGCCATCGAGTCGATTGCAACTCATAGCGACCCTATAGGGCAGAGCAGAACCGCCCCACAGGGTTTCCAAGGAGCACTTGGTGGATTCGAACTGCTGACCTTTTGGTTAGCAGCCATAGCTCTTAACTACTACACCACCAGGGTTTCCTTAGGGTAGAACTGCCTTATAGGGTTTTCTAGGCTGTAGATCTTGACGGAGGCAGACTGTCCCACAAAGCCCTGATAAAAGTGACGTATTCATCTATAAAAATGCTTATATGAAAGAATTTTTTCTAAGTTGGGTGACTTTCACTGAAAACACATAAACAAGAGCAACAGTGTGGTGTACTGTAAAGGCTATAGGAATCAGCCAGACCTGAAACAAAACCTTTTAGGTGAGTGGCTCTGCACAAGTTACTTTACCGGTCTATATCGCAGTTTTCTCTTCATAAAAGGAGACAACAGCTATAAATTATCTTTAAGCCCTTCAATAATTCTGGAAGATAGCTATTCCTAGCACAGTACCTTCTAGCTATTCCTAGATTCTCAGTAGTAACAGCTGTAGTAGTAGCATTAATCATAATAATAGATTTTTAAAATAGAAAACAGTTACATGTATCATTGTATATGTGTGGGAGCTTAAGATAGGATGGACATACAGTTCTTCATTAGTGGAAAATGTTAACTGCTTAATAAGACTACATATCTAAGAATAGTACCTTCGAGAGGTTTTTCTTGGGTGAAATACATATGTATAGTATTTAAAGCAAACTAACGTGTGCTGGGAGGAGCCCACTCAACATACTTTGTGATCCACTGTGTACAAACTGGCAGGCACCTAATAAGGAAGGAAATAGCATGTGCCCATAGCCATTAACAACCAATGAAATACAAAGGTATGTATTTCTTTCTAGTAGAAGGGCTAGTGGAATTTATGCAGCAGCAACAATCAGTTAAGAGGAGATGGTTGCAGTCTGATACTGAAAAAGTTTAATATACAACTTAGAAGGAAGGATAAATTTTTACCTCAGTTCTAATTTCATTTATTGTTAAATTGAAACTGAAAGAATTTTAACAATTAAATTTCATACCTGAGTTGCATTTTCAGGCTTTATAAAATTGTGGAAGAATTCTCATATCTTTTGAGCACCACATATTACTTTATATTGCACAGATGAAGTTAGCATGAGCTATATACCACATGCCATTTCATTTTCAGATAAGCTTTTCTTTTGTTAAATCAACCCAATAAGCCATCCGCTACCAATTTCAAAAGACAGCATGGCATGGTAAAGAGAGCCTAGCTAGGTTCAGGAGTCAGCCCTGGGTTTGACGATCAGTCTCAACACTTATTCTGTACAACCTGGGGCAAGATACTTAATCTGTCTGATCTTCAGTTTCCGTAGTTGTAAAATGAGGATAGCACTTTTATGTCAATCTTGAATATTATAAGGATGATACGTTTATAAATATTCACAATATCATTAATATTGTGCTGTACTATAGATATAATAGATATAACATTAATAATATATTTAATGAGCACCCACAATGTGCCAGGTACCATGCTAACACTTACCACAGAATACAATACCAGCACCAAGTAGGCCTCAACTGGTAGCTATTAAGAATTCTATCCTTATTCCAAGCAAGTGTTTCATGTTCTAGATTATACTATTACTCCAAGGGAATATTTCATGTTTTATATATCCCAGTGAATGACAAGTTATATAAAATGTGTCTCCTCTGATTTTTAATATTAGAGCACAAGGAAATGGTGTTCCTCAGCAAAATGAATCCAAACCAGTTGCCATCTGTGGTGCAATGAGCTCCTCCCATAGGGTTTTCAATGGCTGATATTTTGGAAGTAGATCATCAGGCTTTCTTCTGAGGTGACTCTGGGTGGACTCGAACTACCAACCTTTCTGTTAGCAGCCAAATTCATGCACCATCTGCACCACCCAGGAACTCCAGTGAACTGAATACCAGCTAAGTAATTAGATGGTCCTTCAGTGATACTATCCATAGGTTCTAGATGCACATTATCTTACCCTGAACTAAGTCAAGCTAACTATTTGCCATTATTCAGCACTACTGATACTATATTTGAACCAAACTGGTTTTACAACATATAACAGAAGAAACAGCTATCTGTAGTATATTGAATGACCAGCTGTGTGTTATGCACTGTGCAAGACACAGGAGACAAAGTTCTGAGAGGTTAAGTGATCAGCAGGGACGCATAGCTAGTAATAGTGGAGCTGGGAATAATAAAACCCAGGTTTGTATGGTTCCAGAGCCCACACTCTGTTAAAAAATGATCAGTCTGGCTCTATTTTGTCTCTTGTATTTGGACCCAGACAAATTATGCAATTGACTTATAAGTACAGTTAGAAGATAAAAATATAATAATTTTAAAAATATCTACTTACAAACAGGTAAAGTATTCTACTTTCTTGCAAAAAATAATTCTGGAAAACAGTCATTAAATGAGATTTATACCTGTCAGTTACAAATATCAAACCAAGAGACCATAGGTGAGCTTCTAAATTCATCTAATTTCTTATAACACACAGTGCTTTTTCCTAAATCACAAAGCAAAATAATTTGGAGGCTCAATAAAAATCAGTGAAATAAATCAGATATTTTTTATGCAACTTTATTAATAAAAGGTAGGATAGTTTAGCCAGATATAGGGTTGAATTCCTACTCCACAACTTTTTGGCTATGTGATCTTGGGCAAGTTATAACTTTTTAGAGCCCCAATTTCTTCAATTGTAAAACCCTACTTTGCAGGGTTGCTGTGAGAATTAGCGATAATGGGCGTACTGGCTAACAGACTGATGTTGTTTGTTATTAGCTGGCTAACAAATTGTTGTTGTATATTGTTAGCTGCTGTAGTCATCCCTGACTCATGGTGACTCCACGCACAATGGAAAGAAATGCTGCCTGGTCCTGTACCATCCCCATGATCGGTTGCAGATCAAACCCTTTGTGATCCTAGCTTTCACTGGTTGATTCCCAGAAGTAGATTGCCAGACCTTTCTTCCTAGTCCATCTTAAATCTGGAAGCTCTGCTGAAACCTCTTCAGCATCAGAGTAACACACAATCCACCAGTGACAGAGTGGTGACTGAGCGTAAGGTGCACTGGCTGGAAATCAAACCCAGGTCTCCTGCATGGAAGGTGAGAATTTTACCAATGAACCAGACAGTAGAGAGTCAATACATTTTTAAGCCCAGGGCACCCAGAGAGCCGGATGGTTTAGAGTTCCTGGTGACAACCACTTTACTGAATAAATAAAAAATGACTTATTGATATTATATCATTTGTTAAAAAGTAGTAGTGGATATTATAAAAGCACCAACAGGTAACAGAAGTGTATATTCTTTCAAATTGTTTAATTATTTTCCCAACATTCTAATTCATACCACAAATTTGCTTGGCAAATCTTAAAAAAGGAAACAAAATAAAAAGCCCCAACACTAAAACAATACAAAATATATTTCAGATCAATTCCAGACCAAATCAATATTAATGAGTTTCCTCAGACAAGCCTCTTAATGATGAGAGGTTTATAATATGAGAAGAAATAATGCATTTAGGGACAGTATTCATTGATTTAAGTCTGGAAGTCAGAATTTCTCACTTCTCTCCTTCTCACTTGCTATCATCAATCTCTGACTCTGAAAAATTTAGGATAATCCCCTCTCCCACACTTTTTCCTGAAAATTGATGACCCTTGTGTAATGTAAAATCCAGCAGTAAACAGACATATATGGCAAATGCTAACATTTAGAACGTTTTATTTCAAGAATCTGAAAGTGCTTGCCAATGAGGAACATCCCAATTTCAATGGAACTGACCTTGTGGCCACTCTTAAGTTTAAGAGAGCAAAGAGGGCTAGCCACAATGGTTAAGCAAATAGCATACAGGAGATGAAGGAAAAACAAGAGAAAAAGACCAACAGCCTCAGCAAAGGCTTATAAAGAAAGGAAGAGAGAGGATACCCAAATTATATATGGTGAAGGGTGGGGGAGTCACCAAGCAATTCAGAATGTTGAGTAAACAAGTCCTTAAGAAACTGGAAAAACTTGAGAAGCGGGATGGAATGAAAAGAAAGGTGGCAGGGGGTAGGGAGTCAGAATAGGGTCACTCCGCCAGGACATGTCTTATTTCTTAACCCGCTCCACGAATTCCCTCAGTCTTCTGCACTGCGTGGTAAATTCCTTGAAGGCAGAAACCTAACTGCTGCTTCTGTAAGACACCCCAGTCCCTAGTGGCAGCGCTTTGCACCCAGTAACTCAACCTAGGTGGAAAGCCCTTCCCGTGTGCTCTCACAATTCCCTGGGCGGACTCCTGAACACATTTCAGACTATAGTGGAATTGTTCAATTGTCTTACTCCCTGAACAGACTGCGCGCTCCCGGCCCAGAGATGCGTTCAGGGAACACCGGTCATGACCTAACCTTCTGTGGTCTTGTTTATCTACCCGTCCCCCGCCCCCAATTTGACAGGAAGACAAGTTCCTTGAAGGGGAGGACCTCATATGATGATCCTTATCCCCCCTGGAGTGCTCGTCTGCCCTGCTGAGGAAAGGGACTGTATTTTTCTCCTTTGTATCACCCATCCCCAACAGCCTATCACAGGGTTGGTGCAGCACACACTTCCGGTAATGACAGCTGGAGCGGGTTGCGGGCAAGATTAGAGAGGAAAACAGGCGCTACACAGGTGGAAGACAGCGGTTGCAGGGCCGATTCAGCAGCTAACTTCCCAGAGCAGACAGAGCTGTGAGGCAGCGAGAAAACAGGTGGCCAGGAAGGGTTGTTGCCCGGTTCGATCGGGCCCTACCTTGGGGTAAGTGTGCAAGGGGTAGGTCAGCTGACAGGCCCGGTGGCAAGACGCCGTATCCCCCAAGACAGAGTCAAACGCTTCAGCCGAAGCGGTCCCCGAGCCTCCGGCCAGGGCCATGGTCAGAAGCAGCAGCGGCGGGAGCCCCAGTTGGGCCCTGACCCAGAGGATCCCACTCAGCGCCGCCATTTTGTTCCCCTCTGTCACAACAGCTCAGCTTGTTGCTGTTTTCTTTTCAGGGCTACCTCCTCCTTCCGGAGCCGGCCCCCTTCTCCGCCCCGCGGGCTGCCGCTTCCGCCTCTGCCGTCTCCTCAGTTCCGCCCAGAGCAGTGCGAAACTGCCGCCTCCGACCCCGCCTCTGGGACTACGAACTCCTCCTAGACTGGCGTAAGGAGAAGGATCCAACCATCGCGAATATGAGCGGGAAGCGGTGCCCCCTGACTCCTTCCCTCCGCGGGACGAGCTGGGGCATGTAGTTCTCCGCGGCCGGGAGGCCTAGGGGGCCGTTGGGAAAGTTGGCCTCAGAGAACTACAGCCGCGCTGGACACGCCCCCAGCCCGCTCCTTCGCAGTGCATTCTGGGGAGTGTAGTTAGCCGCGGCTCTCAGGCGCTCTCGCGGCCGGTGTTGCCTTTTCTCGCACTGGGAGGAAATGTCTGTTTCCGCGCCGGCGATCCGGATTTGGGGGCTCAGAGGGTGTGCTCTGTAGGTTCCCAGCTGCTGCCAGGGCTGCTTTTCCTGGTGGGTCTCACGTCATACCGTTCTTAGATATCTCTTCCTGGGCTCTTGAGTGTTGAGCGCGGTGGTGGATGGGTTTCCAATTGCTAGCGGATCCAGAGCACGACAGACGTATTAGGGTCCTCTGACCACCGAGCAATTGTTCCTGCAGATGGCTGTTTATTGTAAGGAGCCAGCCGAGGCTTCGGGGTGGTTGTTGGTTACTAGGAGAACCCTTTGGATTGTGGTGGTGGTGGGGTTTAGAGGGCTTCATTGAGCCCAGTGGAACCCTAATCCTGCTGCAACCTAACCCAATTTGGAATAGGCTTTAAAAGTCACCAGGTTCAACACCAGGCCTAATATTGGAATCCCCTTCACAATGTGCATTTCTGGAAGCTAGGGAGCCTCCTTCCTCAGAAAGTAGGCCGATTATTGTATACAATTTGAGTTCTTTGGAAGATCTTTTTCAAGAAGGAATCTTGCCTCCTGTAAATTCTACCCAAGAGTTCTCATAATTTAGGAATGCTTCTTGAGTGTATAGAACCCAATTGTCCATGTCGTGGGAACACATATCTCAGCAGTCTTAGTGAAGTTTTAGGATTTGTCCTTTTTCTTGAACAGAACACACTGCAAGCACGTGGAGGTAGTTGGAATCCCCCTAGCAATGGATAAATTCGTCATTCGAACGCCTCGAGTCCAGAACAGCCCTCAGAAGAAAGATCCTGGAGCAAAAATGTACAAGCAGGCAACGATTGAATCACTGAAGGTGAGAGAGGAGCTGGGCTAGAGAAATGTGCACAGAACTGTGATAGCAAGGTGGTGCTGAGGGGTTCTAAGAAGACCTGTGAATTGTTTCTTGCCATACCCCCTCCTCAGAGTGTACTGAACTACTCCTTTTATATTTTCTCCATACCCTGTACACAATTCTATTATTTATTAACCTCTACACCTCTGCTACACTCTTCTAATTATTCTGGTTTTATGGTATGTTTTGCTAGCTGGTGGAGCCCTGGTGGCACAGTGGTTAAAAGCTCACCTGCTAACTAACAGGTTGACAGTTCAGATCCACCAGCTGCTCCTTCGAAATCCTATGGGGCAGTTCTGCTCTGTCCTTTAGGATTACTATGAGTAGGAATTGACAGCAGTGGGTTTGCTAGCTAGTAGGGGAAGCTCTTCCCTCATTACTCTTCTTTTGCAAAATTTTCTTGTCTGTTAGAAATATTAAAGTAGCCTGCGTAGTGCAAATGGGTAACACAGTCAGCTGCTAACCAAAAGGTCGGAGGTTTGAATCTACCCAGAGGCACCTCGGAAGAAAGACCTGGTAATCTACTTCTGAAAAATCAGCCATTGAAAACCCTACAGAGCACAGTTCTACTCTGACACACATGGGATCACCATGAGTCGAAATTAACTGGATGACAACTTTTTTTTTTAAGTACCAAATATGGTTCTATGCACCTTGTACAAACTCAATAAAGGCTAAGTAAGGACACTATGCTCTTACAGCTTATTGGCCAGAACTGTATCACATGGCCTCCACAGCTACTAAGACTAGGAAAGAGGCTTTTTTTTTTTTTTAATTGTACTTTAGATGAAGGTTTACAGAACAAATAGTTTCTCATTAAACAGTTAGTACACATATTGTTTTATGACATTGGTTAACAACCCATGACATGTCAACACTCTCCCTTCTTGACCTTGGGTTCCCTATTACCAGCTTTCCTGTCCTCTCCTGCCTTCTAGTCCTTGTTCCTGGGCTGTTGTGCCCCATTAGTCTCATTTTTTTTTATGGGCTGTCTAATCTTTGGCTGAAGGGTAAACCTTGGGAGTGACTTCATTACTGAGCTAAAAAGGTGTCCAGGGGCTGTACTCTTGGGGTTTCTCCAGTCTCTGTCAGGCCAGAAAGTCTGGTCCTTTTTTGTGAGTTAGAATTTTGTTCTACATTTTTCTCCTGCTCTGTCCAGGACTGTCTATTATGATCCCTGTCAGAGCAGTCAGTGATGGTAGCCAGGCACCATCTAGTTGTATTGGACTCAGTCTGGTGGAGGCCGTGGTGGTTGTGGTCCATTAGTCCTTTGGACTAATCTTTGCCTTGTATCTTGTTTTCTTCATTCTTCCTTGCTCCCGAAGGGGTAAGACCAGTGGAGTATCTTAGATGGCTGCTCACAGGCTTTTAAAACCTCAGACGAAATAGGCTATTTTAATGGACTGTTTGCTACCTGGAACTCAATCTGATTTCTGTTATCAAGAAAGAGGCAAGGAATAGATACAGGTTAGACAACCAACAAATCAATGAACATAGTATCCAATAAATGGTAAACTAATTATTATTTGACTTAAAAAAAAAAAGCCTGTGATTAGGCCCATTTTCTTCTTGAACCTCTCCTCTTAAATTTCTGACTTTTTCTTGTAGTTTCCTTTATTGATTCCTTTTTCTCCACTAGTCCTCTCATGTCTGTACTCCCCAAAGCTCGATCACATTTCATGTATTTGGCCTTGGCCAGGGTGGCCTTATCCATCTCAAGGCTTTCTGTGCTGACGACTACCAAACTTGCACCTCCAGCCAGGATCTCTGACGGTGAGAGGGAATCTGAGGCTAGAGAAAATGTTTAAAAGGACTGTGATAGCAAGGGGGTGTCCTGAGTACTTGGTTTATTTACTCAGCTGGACTTCTCTTCTGGGTGTCCCACAAGCATGTGAGACCTAGATTAGAAAGCAGCAAGGGAGAGTATAAACAGAAGCCATGGGTTCTAGACCCTGCTGTGCAAGTGGGTGATCTTCAGCAAATCGTTCCCTTCCCCGGGACCTCAGTTTCCTCATCTATAAAATAGGAGGTTGAACTGTATCAGTGTTTCTTCAAGGGGGCGCTATTGTCATTTGGGGCAAGATAATTCTTAAGTATTTAGAGCTGTCCTGTGAGTTGTAGTGGAGCCCTGGTGGCATAGTGTTTATGAGCTTGGCTGCTAACGAAAAGGTTGGCAGTTCAGATCCACCAGCTGCTCCTTGGAAACCCTCTGGGGCAGTTCTACTCTGTCCTGTAGGGTTGCTGTGAGTCTGAATTGACTCGATTGACGTATTTGGGTTTTTTTTTGGTTTTGTGAGTTGTAGGATGATCAGCATCCCTGGCCCTCAGCACCTCCCATCGTGATAACCAAAAATGCCCTTATGTATTTTCAAGTAACCCTTCGTTGAGACCTGTTGAACCCTAGCTGATCTTTAACGTTTCCTAGCCTTGCGGTTCTGTGGCTTCATGAAACATGTTCAAGGTTTTCAATAGTCTCTGCTTTGTCAAAGTATGCTTCGGTGGTTATATATGGCTGTAATTCTCAATGAGGGACAGTGGTTGGCAGGATCGTGCTGTCGGGCTCTCTGGAGGAAAAAGGGGAGGATGGTAATTGAACTACACATACACTCACACACAAATTTCCAGATTCTAGTATACCACCACCTGCCCCTGCTCTCCTCTGTATCCCACTTGTACCCTATTTGAGAATCAGTGTGTGAAACTAGCTTATATGATGTGAAAATTATGGAATCATAATAAACAGGCACATAGAATAACATTCCCCTTAAATTTATCAGCTTTTCTTCCAAACCTGTTCCTTATTCTTTTGCGTTTACTTTTACATCCATATAGGGTCACTATGAGTTGGAATTGACTTGATGGCAATGTGTTTGGTTGTTTTTTTTATTTTGGTTTATACCAAGTAACTGGAAACCTAGGAATCATCCTTAATTCTTTTCTGTCTTATATTCAAATGCTGTCTCCTTAAATATATCTTGAATCTGCTCCTTCATGACTGTACTCAACTCTTCCCACTTTAGATTCAGAACCTAGTTATTTCTCACCTAGAATAGTGCCATGGTCTTTTTGTCTCCCTGCCCTTGGCATCCCCCATCGTTCTCACATCAGAGAAACAGAGAAACAGGTCTAACAAAATGAAAGTCTACTCAGTGACTTTCTGCAAAATTCTTCAGTGGCTTCTCATTACCTCTGGGATGAAGAACACATTTGTTTTCATGGTCCCCAAGGCCTTCTGCAACCTGGTACCTGCCTGCCTCATCTCCTACTACTCTTCTTATTTACACTCCATCCAGTGTCAGCTACTTACAGTTCCCCAAAGCCTTCGTGCTCTTTTATACCACTGTACCTTTGTATGTGCTGTCCTGTTGGCCTGGAATCCCTTACCTTTTTTGGAGGCAACGTAGTATAGTAATTAAGAGCACAGACTCTGGAGCTAAACTGCCTGTGTTAAAATCCCAGCTCTTCCAGTTAATACCTGTGTGACTTTGGGCAAGTTATTTAACCTGTCTTTGTCTTTCTTATCTACAAAATGGGTTTTAATAATAATACCTATTTTATAAGGTAGTTATGTTGTTTGATCAGTCAGTATATGTAAAACTTGGAACAGAGCCTGGCACATAGTAAGTACTATACAAGTGTTTGTTATTATTGTTGTTATCATCTACTTGATGAAATCCTGTTCATTCACCATGACCTAATTCAAGAGTTCCTCAACTATGAGGTCTTTCCTGACTACCCTTTTTTCCCCCAGATAGAGGCCAAGGTAATCACTCCCTTCTCTGAACCTTCTCTGTACCTTAAAAATAACCTCTATCATTGCACTTCTTTGTGCTATATTACAAATGTTTCTTTATACGCTTGTGCTCTGCTATACTATGAGCTTCTTGAAAGACTATGTCTTATTGGTTTTGCATCCCCAGGCACAGGGCTTGGCATATAGAAGCCTGTAATAAATTTTTCTGAATGACTAAATGAATTAAAATTTTAAAAGCCTTGGCATGACATATGCGACCCCTCTTGTTCTGCCCTGGTGAGCCTTACCATCTTGTCCCTTGTTGCTCCCTGTACGCATGAATGTATTCCAGCCACACCCCATTTTTTGCTGTTTTCTGAATAAGCTATTCTGTTTCATGTCTGTAGGGCTTTGAGGGCTTTGATTTGATGCTGGTCCCTTTTCCTGGGAAGCATGTATTTTTTTACAGGATGAATTCCTATACTTATTTGTTAACCTACTCAGGTACCACTTTCTCTGTGAATTCTAGAATTTAAGTTCTACAAGGACAGGTACCTTGAGTATTCTACTTACCTTCGTATCCTTGTATCTGTCATGGTGCCAGACCCATATTAAGTGGTTGTGTTAGTTTGGTTCTTTAGAGGAGCAAAACCAGTGAGATGTGTATATATATAAATATATACAGAGAGATTTACTTCAAGGAAATGGCTCATGCAGTTATGGGGGCTAACAAGTCCCAAATCTGTAGGTTAGGTGGCAGGCTGGAGACCTCGGCTGGCTCACGACATTGTTGGGGCTGACAAATCCAAAATCTTCATGTCATGCGAGGAGAAGAGTGCAGGGTCGAGGAGACAGAGAGAGAGAGAAAGTGATCTCTAGAGTGCTCTGTCAGAATATCCATTTATATTCTGGAGGCAGACCACAACTCCAAGGAAACTCCCCTTTCAGTTAATTGCTTGATCACATCAGATCACATCATGTAAGGTCATTACATTACAGAACAGCAACCAGTCCAGTATCTGACCAAACCACTGAGAATCGTAGCCTAGCCAAGTTGACACAAAAAATTAACCATCACAGTGGTCGATAAGTATTTGTTAAATAAATAAATGTCAGAATGCTTTTTGGGTCTTATGAGGGCAGTTAATCCTTCCTTCTTCAGTACTCTCTTAGCATTTGATTCAAATATCTGTCATAGCACTTACCTTACTGTATTGTCATTGTCTGA